TTATACCATGATTTTCAGAATACTCAGACACTTTACACATTTTAAAAATAATATAAAAAGCTACATACCAAAGAAACATAGAGCACACAACATACATCACACATTAAAAGCAGTTCTGAAAAGGTGGGTTTTGATTTGTGATTTGAACATTGTGAAATTGACGCAGTCTCGGGTGTGTTTGGCGAAAGAGGGATTGTGGTTGAGATATTCATGGTCCCCACCCCAGATTATGAATCCTACTAACTTTGTTGATCCCCTGACTTTTCCTCTGGTACCACCATAGCTTTGAATTTTGTGGTTTTTAGTGAAACTAGTGCAGCGCCCATTCTAAACAGCCTATTTGTTTGTCCTGTGTTGATGCTCCACAGCCTACTTCGGTACTATTCCATGTCGTTTGTGAGTCCTCTTCAAACAGTTCTACTATATACTCACTCTTTATTGTTTGTGTCCTGGATGTTGAGTGCAGAGCTTTTATAAACTGTCTATGGTGCAGAGTCAAGTCAGAAAACATTGTGTTTATCCAGCCTGATTTATCTGCAATGATATTATAGTCATTGTTTTTCATATAATTAAAAGGAATTAGCTTTATTAGTGTTCACACATGGCTTATATATAGGTTTGAATGATTCACTCGACTGCTATTATTTTTTCATACATTGCATGTCAGCTATGTCAGAGTCTTCTCACAATCTTCTGGCCCAAATTCACAACTTTTCAAAATAACAGCTCTGTAGTGCAGCTTGATATGAAGGATTGCAGCAACACAACAAAATGCTTTTACTTTGAAGACAAAACAGGAAGTGATTTTGTGCATGTTGCTGCCATGATGGATTTTGTGGTATATTTGTTGAAAGCAGATGTGGGAAAAAAGTTCCAACTCTTCTTCTAGAGGTCATAGAAGAGGTATCACACCTTCTCCAACCAACAATTCAGTTTGGTTGGCCTAAAAATGCAGTGGAAGAGAATTAGGATTTTACCAGTAAGCAGTACTTGATCTGGTGTGCAACATGTGGTAATACAAGATTGCCACATTTACTACAAAGAGTCTCAAATTTGAGTTCTGGCAAGGTATGAAGGTTAATCGCATTCCTCATCAAACATCTTGTAGTATGAAGAATTTTGTTCTAAATAGGCAGAAACTTCAGCCACTTGACAAATGCTTTGACACCCACAATAAGGACTATGCACTTTGCTCTAAGAAGGGATCTTAACTTACTAGTTAGAACAGAAATTATGATAGCAAGAAGAAGAAAAAACATGTTCAGTGTTGATGTAAGTACCTGAATATTAACTGCAGAAAAATTGTGAACCTATCCTTTGATAT